AGGAGGAGGAGGAGATAAGGGAAGTGAGTGGGGAGGGGATGGGGTGGGGAGAGGTGGAGAGAAGGAGATTGGTTGAAAGGGGGAGGAAGGAGAGGGGAAGGGGGAAGGAATGGGGAGGGGAAAAGGAAGGGAAAGGGTAGCAAAGTTGGGCGGAGGGTGTGGTGGAAGTGTTAGGGAAGAGGGTAAGGGGAGGGAATGGGGTAAGGGTCAGAGAGGGGGTGATCGATAGGGGTTAGGGAGACTCTAGAGATGGGTATGGGTGGGGTGGGTGGGGTTGTAGGGAAAAAATAGGGGAAAAGGGGGTTACAGAGGGTTGGGGTGGCGGTAAGGGAGGGGGAAGGAGTAGGGGAAGAGGCTTGTGGAGGGTAAATAGGCAAGAGAAAAGAAAATAACAAAAATGTCAGGAGGGAGAGAAAGAAAGGGTGAAAGAACACAAAAGAAAAAATATAAGAAAGAGGAATGAATGTGAAATCAAGAAAGAGGATGGAAGAAGAAGATGATGAAGTAGAAGAAGAAGAAGAAGAAGAAGAAGAAGAAGAAGAAGAAGAAGAAGAAGAAGAAGAAGAAAAGAAGAAGAAGAAGAAGAAGAAGAAGAAGAGAAGAGACGACGAAGAAGAAGAAGAAGAAGAAGAAGAAGAAGAGAAAAAAAAAAAGAAAGAAGAAAAAAAAAAAAGAAAGAAAAAATAAGAAAAAACAACAACAAAGAAAATTAACCAAGGACGAAAAAGGAAGAAGGAGAGAGCGAACGAAGAAGGAAGTGAGGACAGAGCGAGACTGAATGGCAAAACCGGTTCGTGAAGCGAGCGATAGGGAGATAGTGAGAGAGATAAAGAAAGCGGAGATGGGATGCAGACAGCCTTGCGAAAGAGGAAAAAGAATAGAGCCAATAAATAGGGGAATAAGATACGCTAAAAAGGAGGGCAAATGATGACGATAAGAAACGATAAGAATTCGAAAGAAGGGAAGGACAAGAAAGTATGTCTTAGAAGGAAATCTTGGAGAAAGGATGGAGACAATAGAAAGAAATGAAAGAGAAGAGAAAGTGATAAAAAGCCAAAAGAATACGGTGATAATGAGGATAACCGGGAGAAAATATGATAGGATCCGAAGACGGGGAAGAGAGAAAATTCAATCAAAAGTCTTGGAAGAAGAAGAAGAAGAAGAAGAAAAGGATTGAAGATGCACCGTCTTAGAAGGAAAATATTAAAAAGGAATAATAGTAATAACAATGATGATGATGATGATGATAATAATAATAGTAATAATGATAATAATGATAATAATTACAATAATAATAATGATGATGATAACAATAATAATAAGGATAACGTTAATAATAATGATGATGATGATGATGATGATGATGATGATGATGATGATGATGATGATGATGATGATGATGATGATGATGATTATGATGATGATGATGATGATGATAATGAAAATGATGATGATGATAATGATGATGATGATGATAATGATGATGATTGATAATGATGATGATCGATGATTACGATGATGATGATAATGATTATGATAATGATAATGATGATGATGATTTACGATGATGATGATGGATGATGTCGATGATGATATGATAATGATCGATGATGATGATGATTAACGACGATGATGACGATGATGATGATAATAACAAAAGTAATCAAAGCAGAAACAGGAAAGACAAGAACAATAACAATTACGAGAGACCACTGTCTCCCAACACAAACGAAAATAGATAAACGAAAACAAAAGACAAACTATTTATCCTCCGAGTGTCTTTGCGACAAAACCCTCTCGCTCAAGAAGTGTTGGAACCTCCTTAGTGGAATCCCGGAGGACTATAAGGAGGATCAGAACCCATTCTTCATTTAATCCTTCTCTCGCTCTCCCTACTTCTCATCTTCTGTCCTTTCTCACCGGTTTATCGTCTAATCTTTCTCTCTTTACTTCTTTCTCATCTTCTGTCCTATCTCACCGGCATCTAATCTTTCTCTCTTTACTTCTTTCTCATCTTCTGTCCTATCTCACCGGTTTATCATCTAATCTTTCTCTCTTTACTTCTTTTTCTTGACATTTTTCCCGTGTTCCGTCAATGTTTTGACAACTTTCTGAAATTTTGTCCATTTTTGAGCGAATTGTCGATTTTCCAGTCAGACGATAACGATCGTTTCCGTCTGAAAACCTTTCCGTCAACTTTCTTCAGCCAAGCAAAGTCAAATCAAGACTTATATTCGAGAATGTTTGTATTGATGTTAGATAAAATTGTCAAAAAATTGACGGAAAAAGTGCTAGTGTGACAGCGACTTAACACGGGAAAAAGGAGAGTGCGCGAGAAAGCAAATTCAAGGAGGTGAACGCGTTGATGAGAAGACTAAATCTATGTAAATGTCATGTGCATAAATAGTTCCTCGCCAGGTAAAGGTATGAAAGCTCTGAGGGGGAACTATGTTATCTATTTCTATTGTCTATTCGTGTGTATTCCTCTTATTCATTTATCTTTATTGTCGTTTTCAATTTATTCCCAAACTATTTCATTTATTCGTGTGTATTCGTTTTTTTTTTTTTTATCTTATGGCATTTTAATTTTTTCACCCAACTATTCCTATTATCTATTCGTGTCTATTCGTTTTTTTTTTTTCATTATTGCCGTTTTCATGTTTTTTTCCAGCTATTTCTATTATCTAATCGTGTGTATTCGTTTTTTTTTTTATTTATCCTTATTATCGTTTTCATTTTTTCCCAACTATTTCTATTATCTATTCGTGTATTCCTCTTTCTTCTCATATTATATATTTTTTAGCTTTCTTTCCTTTCAATAAGATAAATTATTGAACTTCTTCTATTCCTATCTCACCGGTTTATCATCTAATCTTTCTCTCTTTACTTCTTTTTCTTGACGTTTTTCCCCGTGTTCCGTCAATGTTTTGACAACTTTCTGAAATTTTGTCCATTTTTGAGCGAATTGTCGATTTTCCAGTCAGATGATAACGATCGTTTCCGTCTGAAAACCTTTCCGTCAACTTTCTTCAGCCAAACATAGTCAAATCAAGACTTATATTCGAGAATGTTTGTATTGATGTTAGATAAAATTGTCATAAAATTGACGGAAAAAGTGCTAGTGTGACAGCGACTGAACGCGGGAAAAAAAGGAGAGTGCGTGAAAAAGCAAATTTAAGGAGGTGAACGCGTTGATGAGAAGACTAAATCTATGTAAATGTCATGTGCATAAATAGTTTCTCGCCAGGTAAAGGTATGAAAGCTCTAAGGGGGAACTATGTTATCTATTTCTATTGTCTATTCGTGTGTATTCGTCTTTTTTATTTATCTTTATTGTCGTTTTCATTTTTATCCAGCTATTTATATTATCTAATCGTGTGTATTCGTCTTTTTTTTATCTATCTTTATTGTCGTTTTCATTTTTTTCCCAACTATTTATATTATCTAATCGTGTGTATTCGCCTTTTTATATTTATCTTTATTGCCGTTTTCATTTTTGCGTTATTTTTATTATCTAATCGTGTGTATTGTTTTTTTTTTAATTTATCTTTATTGCCGTTTTCATGTTTTTCCAACCATTTCTATTATCTATTTGTGTGTATTCCTCTTTCTTTTATTAATCTTTATTGCCGTTCTCATATATTTTTTTTAGCTTTCTTTCCTTTCAATGGAATAAATTATTGAATTCATTTTCAAGGAAAATATATTAGACTTTTGTGAAGGGTATTGATTCGAGTGACAAAATAAACTAATTAACTAACTAAATAAATAAGAATGAAAATAATAATAATGACCAAATGCATTGTTTTTTAGAGCTGTTGAGGAAATATTTAATAGCCATAGTAATGATAACCATCACCACAGTCACATTGCAATTATAACAGAACATTAAAAATTATACTCTATCTAATTTCAGAAAAAAATAAAATCTGGCAACTGACACCGGAATCTGTGGTACTCGCATTGGCTAAATGTTCTTTCAGAGAATATAATAAAAAATTGTAAAACATGAAAATATTCCATGAAGATTGAGAAAATAAACAAACCTATAATCATGCGTAAAGATAAGAATTAAGTCTCAGCTGATTAGATAAAAGAAAGAAATTTTGAGGAATCGGAGTTACCCAGAATCCGGAGTGAGTTGCCAGGTCGTTCTTTCTTGAACTCGCGCGCACTACAAAAACGTATATAAATAATTGATAAATAGATGAATAAAATAATGAGTGGATGAATGAATGGAATTAAAGAGATGAATGAATAAATAAAGAGAAATAGATGATTAAACAAATAAATGAATATAAATAGGTATTGAAATAAGTAAAAAAATACCGATAGATAGATAAGGAAAAAATGGATAAATAAACAAAGAAATAGATAAATAAACAAAAAATAAATATATCAAGATATAACAAATAAATGAATAAATATAAATATATCAATACACAATAATCAAACAAATAAAACTAAACTTATTAATATAGAAATCACTCAATATAAGATATACAAATAAAAACAAATATATAAAAACACAGACGAAAAATAACAGTAAAATAATAAAACACACATAAAAAATAAAACACACATATTCGCCCAAAAAAATAATAATAAACAACAACAACAAAAAACGCACACACACACACACACAAAACCCACTACAGTAATAAAACACACACACACATTCGCACAAAAATAGATAAATAAATAAACAAATAAAAAATAAACCAAAACACACACACCACACAAAACCCCACTACAACCCTACCCCCTACCCCCAACCCCCCAACCCCCTCACACACACACGCACACAAACCCCACTACACCCTACCACCCCCCTACCCCCACCACCCCCACCTACCCCCACACACACTACCCCCCTACCCCCCCCCCACCTCCCACCCCCCCTCCCACACCCTCCGACCCCCCCCCCTTCCCAACCTCCCCCCTCCCACCCTCCTTCCCCTCCACCCCCAGCCCCGCCCCCCTCCCAACCCCCTTCTCACCTTGTTCTCGTGGTACCAGTAGACGAACACCGGTCGCTCGGTCCCGTGGGTGATGACACAGGTGAGGTTGATGGGCGACCCCCGATGCACGTAGATCTCGGGGGCGTTGAGGATCCACGCCCTGGGACTGGAGGGCGGGGGAGGGAAAGGGAGGGTAAGGGAGGGAGGAGGAGGGAGGAGGGGAGGGGAGGGGGGGAGAAGGTAGGGAGGGGAGGGAGGGATAGGGGGGAAGGGGAGGAGGGGGATGGGAGGAGGGGAGAGGGAGAGGGAGGAGGAGGGGATAGGGAGGGAGGGGTGGAGGGGGGGCGGAGGGGTGGAGGGGAGGCGGAGGGGAGGGAGGAGGGAGGAGGGAGGAGGGAGGGGGGAGGGAGGGGGAGAGGGAGGGGAGGGAGGGGAGGGAAGGAGAGAGAGAGAAGAAAGTGATTTTTAGAAATGGGGGCGAAAAATGAGGATTGTTTTGTGGTTGTTGATGTTGGTTGTGATTTGTGTGTGTGTTGTTGTTTTTTTTTGTTGTCTGTCAGTTTTACTATTGTGTGTTTTGTTTGTTAGTTTTATTGTTATTGTTGTTGTTGTTGGTATTATTATCATTGGTATAATCATTATTATTATTATCAGTATCATTAATTCTATTAATATTATCATCATTCTTTTGATTATTATCATCATCATGCTCATCACCGCTATTAGAAGTAGTATTAGTAGTAATAGCAATAGTATTAGCACTATTACAACTACTATTGTTTTGTTTTTTGTCATTACTATGTTATCATTATTATTATCACCATTGTCCCAAGCATTACCTGATTACTACTTTTTTATTAGTAGCACACTATCATTATTATTAATATTAGTAGTAGCATATTAACTCTTTCTCTCTCTCTCTCTCTCTCTCTCTCTCTCTCTCTCTTCTCTCTCTCTTCTATCTATCTATCTATCTATCTATCTCTCTCTCTCTCTTTTCTCTCACACACACACAAACACACACACACACATACACACACACACACACACACACACACACACATTCACACCACACACATATATATATATTCTTCCGAAAATCAAATGTAAAAAGATAAGTATAAAACATGACACTCGGTAAGGGAAGCCAACGACCTCGTTCAGAAGAGAATGAGCAGTAGCAACACATACAAAAATAGAACCACAGATAACGCAAAAGAAAGATAATAATATAATAAAAGATAATGATATTAACATTAACAGTAGATCCTTTACCTCCTTCCCTATCAAAAAAAAGACCCCCATGATAATGCAGTAAAAGAAGAAGAAGAAAGAAGAAAGAAAAGAAGAAAAAGAAAAAGAAAGAGAAAAAGAGATAAAAAAGAAAAAACAGGGAAAAAAGAGGGATAGATAGAGAGAGAGAGAGAGGGGGGGGAGGGAGAAGAGAGGAGAGAGAGAGAGAGAGAGAGAGAGAGAGAGAGAGAGAGAGAGAGAGAGAGAGGAAGAGAGAGAGAGAGAGAAAGAGAGAGAAAGAAAGAAAGAAAGAGAGAGAGAGATAGAAAAAAATATATAATATAGCAAGAGACTATATAGACACTAAACCATACCCCCCCCCTCACCCCCAAAAAAAAATAAATAAATAAATAAATACACCACCACATTCACATCAAACCCCCCGACAACCAGCAAGTGCCAACCACCCAGCGTCGTCACCGCCAACTTCCCCTTCATACCATTTCGTCTCCTCGGCCTCCTCAGCTCAGATTAAACCAGGGATGTTAATCAGTGGGCGAGGAAGACTTCCCCACAGAGGCAGATGAAATGTGGATGGGCGCGGGCGGGAGCGGTGGAGGCAATGAGGTGGATCGAGGTGGAAGAGTGAGTGAGGTGTGTGGGGTGATGGAGCGAAGGAGATGGAGAGAGAAGGTGGAGTTGTGTTAAAAAGGGGATTGGGGGGGAATTTCGGAGAGGAGGGAAGAGATGGAGGAGGAGAGGATGGAAGTGGAGGGAGTGGATGGAGGTGGAGAAGTGGAAGGTGGAAGAGTGGTGTGGGGGTGATGGTGGGAGGGAGGTGGGGGGGAGGGTGTGTTTGTTTGTTTATCTGTTTTTTTTTTTTGTTTTTTTTTGTGTGTGTAGGAGTGTGAGTGTGTATGTGTGTGAGAGCGAGTGTGTGTGTGTGTGTGTGTGTGTGTGTGTGTGTGTGTGTGTGTGTGTGTGTGTATGTGTTGTGTTTGTGTGTGTGTGTGAGGTGGAGTAGAAATACTAAAGAGGATGGAGAGAATATAAAGAAGAGAGAGAGAGAGAGAGAGAAGGAAAGACAGACAGACAGAAAATATACATATACGAGATAGGCAAGAAAAAAGAAAAAAAAAGTGAACAAGAAAAGAAGAAAGACCATAAAGAGAAAAAAAACATTATACAAAAGAGAGGAATGAAGTAGGTGTAAGAGAGACACTTAAAGGGAAGGAGAAGCGGGAGATGAAGCGGAAGAATGAAGAGGATGGAGGAGAAGGAGGGAGTAAAGGTGATGGAGAAAGGTCATATGGAGTCCCTAAGGTCATCGAACGAAAGATGGGATGAAGTGAATGCAAGAAATGCCACAAGATCGGGAATTCATATCCTAACAGAAGAGAAAATGAAATAAAACAGAGATGATGATATGAAACAAAATTAACTGAAGCATTCACCACAAATAATAATAATAAGAATAATGGCAATAATGATGATGATGATAATAATGACAAAGCAAGCGACAAATTAACAGAAAGTATTCACCACAAAGAATAATAATAAGGATAATGACAATAATTAATGATGATGATGATGCAAAGCAAGCGACAATACTAATAACCAGACCCAGTGTTAATAACCCCGCGCCCTTCCACCCTCCTCCCCTCACTCCTCTTCCCTCAAACCCCCTCCTCCCCTCACCCCCTCTTCCCCATCCCCTCCTCCCTCACCCCTCCTCCCCTCCCCCCACCCTCACTCCCCACCCCTCCTCCCTCACCATCCCAAGAGCAGGAGCCGAGAATCCCGAGCCGAGAAAGCCCAGTTGCCTCTCCTCCTCCGGCAATCTCCCCAAACAATAGAGCTTCTCGAGCCACGATGAGGAAAGCTGCCTAATTGCGAGCTTAATCAACAGATGGCGCGCACGGCCGAACCCAGACAATAAGGCATTCGACACCTGCGTCCTTTGAGGTTTCCTGTCTTGGGAGTGGCGTTGATTGTCCTGCAGGATGGCGGTAGTGGAGAGTAGGACAACGGGGCTTTGAGGCGGGAGGGAGGGGAGGAGGTGGGGGGGGGGATTGGAATCACGATGAGGGAGATGAGGGAGAAGATTACGTGAGGGTAGGTCAGGGTGATGGCAGATTAGGCAGAGGTTAAAAGGTCGATGCTGTGAGCGATGATTGGGAGAGGTCAGGTCAGGTCAGGTTGCAAAGTCAAAGGGAATTTCTGACATGAGGATCAAAGAGTGAAAAGAAATATTGACGTAAGAAAAAAATAATAATAAATGCAAAATAACTTCAGAACACGAGAGACGTACTTGACCGTACTTGACGCATTTTTTGAACAGGTCATCAAAATGAGAATGACATCGAAAAAAGACTCGGGTCATATAGAGTTTGCGAAATTAGGCTGCGTGAGAAGTCTTAAAAAAAGAGGTCAAGTGAAAATCTCCAACCACAAGGTCAGTATTGCGCAAGGTCAAGAGGATTTGAGACCAGGTCAATCCGCGTGGATATGACAACACAAGGGCAGGATTTTAACATATTGACTGGTAGGTTTCATTTTTTTTATCATGTGTTTCAGGGACCTGCAATATTGCCATGTCGACTAGGATATTAATATTTGACACTTGCCTGTTTTATATGTGCCAATTAAAAGAGTTTTCAGTTTAGGATTCTTTTGGGGAAATACGTTTTTTTCGTGTTTATTGGGAAATACTTCATATAGGATATTACAGCTGCGTAGGATTGAGGTGTGATATTGCGAGGAAACCGAATCGATCGTTTCACTTTTCCGTCAAAGGGAGTATTAATTACGCACGCACGCACGCACACGCCACGCACGCACGCGCACACGCACACGCACACGCACACGCACACGCACACGCACACGCACACACACACGCACACACATATAAACATGCATTCACAACACACACACACAAACGTACAAACACACGCACACACACATACATTGTGTTTATGCGTCTGTGCAAGGGCGTGACCGTGTCCTCGTCCATGTGAGTATACACATGCGTGACTGCGTACACCCACGTGTGTGTGCGTGGATTCCATTCACACAAAGAAGCATTCGGATCCCCGGAACGTCCCTCTAAGTCTTCACAAGGTATATCAGTAAAATCCGGCCATCAGCGAACCGCGCGGCCGGCTGACGAAGATAGCGTGGAAATTGAAACCATATTTGATAATCCGGTTAGAAAGGCCTTTCAACTTCCGCTGCTTCCGAGGCTGAGATTCTAGCGCCGCTGTGTCCGAGAGGCTTCGTCGTGGCTTCGTCATCGCAGTGATTTATTTTCTCTTTGGCGGAGGGATTCGAACGCGCTGAATTCAGAGAGAGAGAGAGAGAGAGAGAACAAGAAGATAGAGATAGATAGATAGAGAGGAGAGAGAGATAGAGAGAGAGAGAGAGAAAAAGAGAGGAGAGAGAGAGAGAGAGAGAGAGAGAGAGAGAGAGAGAGAGAGAGAGAGAGAGAGAGAGAGAGAGAGAAGAGAGAGAGAGAGAGAGAGAGAAGAAAGAAAAGAAAGAGAGAGAGAGAGAGAGAGAGAGAGAAAGAGATTGACAGATTGAGAGATAGATAGATTGATAAATATCTAGATAGAGAAAGAGAGAGGACGGTACTGAACCTACTCAACAAGCCCAGAATACCCTCTCCCTGGGATCTCTCCAACTCCCACAGACACCACACACTCTCTCCCTCGTCCTGGAGTAATGATCACATTTCAGACACCTCCCCCCCTTTCCCTCCTCTCCCCCCTTCCCCCCCCCCCCCCCGCTAGTGGAAGGGGAGAGTAGAGGAGTAAGGAAATTCAAATATACAGCCAGGTGGGCCGGGAGATGCGCGCGCGTGCGTGTGTGTGTGATGCAGATGCGACATGAATCTATTGAAGAGCTTTCTCTCTCTCTCTCTCTCTC